TCTTAAGCATATATATATATATATAATATTATATAATAATATAATTATATATATGTATATATATGTGTGTGTATATAACCGCGATTCGTACTAACAATAAGAATGGCGGAGACAAAGAAGAAAAATTTTTTTATGATAGTAAAATATAATTTGTTAATAATAGAAAGAATTTCACAATGCAGAAAATCAAAATGGCCCATGTTTTCATGGAACTCAAAGATTCAGGATCGTCGTTAACGAGAAAAAGGATCTGTAATTATCGATAATTTATTTTCTTGCTCTTAAATCCTTGAGCTTATATCCGCGAGTAGCGCGTTATACATTCACATTCGCAGACTCTTGATGCGGGATGACGGTTCTTTTTTTCCTTTTTTTAGTTCTTGCGTATATGTCGTGTCTTGTTTGCGAGAGGAGCGAATAAGTAGCTCGTTAAAGACAAAGTAGGTGCGATTTAGGGGAAAAGGCGCGTCTTTTGCGCGCATCCAGCAGTGGAAACGGAGTGGAAGCCCCGCGGCATTGGTTGCGCTTTTCACGGTTTACCTGTCGTGCCAAAGTACGACAAAAGAATTCTTTCTCTTCTTCCTTTTCCTTCTTTTTTTTTTTCTTCTTTATTACCGCTAGAGTGCCTCTCGGTGTGCGCGCTGATGGCGGATCGAGGATTAAGACGGCTCGTCCGTCGAGCGAAACAAGATGCGAGTACTTGTGTGTCGAGATCACAGACAGCTGTGTCGCGAGAAATTAATCCAAAAGGATGCGGAAACTATTTCTTCTTTTAAATAAGAATTAAATTGCGCAGATTTATAATGTATTCATTAATTTATCATCGTACAGAAATAGATACATGAAAGTATTTCTGTAATTGTCTCACACAGCTTTCGATGCTCCATTTTAAATTCTTTATTAAATAAACATCGATTTAAATAAATCTATCGGGAAGAAAATAAAATATACATATATATTAAAAAAAAATATCCGTAAAAAATAAATATTAATTGCAATCGCGCGTTAATATGATTCCGTTGACGCTTTACGTCTTACTATCATAATTACTATATGATTTTTCAGTATATCAGCTCTATCTTTGCTCGCAGACTCGATGTCTCCGCCCAGAGGAGCAAGTGTGGGATGTAGTTGACACTACCTTCCACCTAGCGAGAGCACGACGACGACGGAGGTGGAGAACGAAGAGGAGGAGGAGGAGGAGGAGGAGGGGGACGAGGAGGACGAGGACGAAGACGAAGAGACGGAAAAGGAGAAGAGAAGAGATCGCGACGGTAGTACCGGTGAAAACGCTGTACACCGGATCCCGGTATCCCGACAAGAAGGACCGGAAGCGTGGCGTTCGCGCGTTCGCGCGTACGTGCGTGCGTACGTACGTGCGTGCGTGCGTGCGGGCGGGCGAGCGTGCGCGCGCGCGACCGAGCGCGTGGGCGAACGCGCGCATGGTAAAGGGCGAGCGAGAGTGAGGTGGGTTTCGCGGAGGGGTGCCCCGAAGATCAGAGTACAGCGGGAAACGCGAAGCATCGTTCGCGAGAGTAGCAGAAGACGCGCGATCGCCCGCGCGAACCGTTTCGGTCGCGGAGCACCGGAACAAGGATAGGTAGGACGCAATTTTTCGGAAACGATACAAAGAGAGAGAAAGAGAGAGACAGAGAGAGGGTGAGAGATAGTCCGTCAGACATGAACGTTACTCCGATGGTGGAGATATCCAGCAATGACAGCTACAACGCCAGCAACGGTCTCGACTGCGGCGGTGAGCCCCATCAATACGCGATATGGGAGCGTTCGATGATAGTGGTGATCGCCGTCTTCCTCAGTCTCACCACAGTCGTCGGCAACATAATGGTCATGATATCGTTCAAAATCGACAAGCAGCTGCAGACGATCTCCAACTATTTCCTCTTCAGCCTGGCGGTGGCCGACTTTGCGATCGGCCTAATCTCTATGCCCCTCTTCACGTTGTACACGGTACTCGGTTACTGGCCGCTCGGGCCCCACGTGTGCGACACGTGGCTCGCCCTCGATTATCTCGCCAGCAACGCGTCGGTCCTTAATCTGCTCATCATCAGCTTCGACAGATACTTCTCCGTCACGCGGCCGCTCACCTATCGAGCCAGGAGAACGACTGTCAAAGCCGCCATTATGATCGGTGAGTGTCACAATTTATATACAGTGAAATGTACCATATGAAATAATTTATATATACTAGTCACATTTTGCGATGATTTTTATATTACGTTTATTATTCTCTTGAATTTTGTTGCAATGAAATTTTACTATATGATGAATCGCAATATATTTAATATGCTTTAATGTATAAAATCACGCAGAATTAATATTCGTTAAACCGTTTCCGCCAGGATCCGCTTGGGGTATATCGTTGCTTCTTTGGCCACCCTGGATCTACGCGTGGCCGTACATCGAGGGTCAAAGAACCGTGCCATTGACCGCATGCTATATCCAATTCATCGAGACGAACCACTACATCACCTTCGGCACGGCCATCGCCGCGTTTTATGTTCCTGTCATGATAATGATAATCCTGTACTGGCGGATCTGGAAGGAGACGGAGAAACGGCAGAAGGATCTGCCAAACTTGCAGGCCGGCAAGCAAGACGCGAGCAAGCGCAGCAACTCGAGGTGGTAACTAACGCTTTCAATTGTTTCTCCCTCCGAACTTGTCGTCAGCACGTCACCAAAAAAACGCAATCGAAACCCCTGCACAAGAGAGATGGTAACGCATTGCTCCACGTGGAGGATTGACCTCCCCCCTTAGCTCTGATTTGATGTAACACAGGATATAGATGCACCAGTTAATGAGCGGTTAAGAAGTATTGTTAAATTATTCAATTTTTTTTATATTACGATATTATTTTACTCACACACACATTTTATACCCTTTTGAATATTATAATCCTGTACTGGCGGATCTGGAAGGAGACGGAGAAACGGCAGAAGGATCTGCCAAACTTGCAGGCCGGCAAGCAAGACGCGAGCAAGCGCAGCAACTCGAGGTGGTAACTAACGCTTTCAATTGTTTCTCCCTCCGAACTTGTCGTCAGCACGTCACCAAAAAAACGCAATCGAAACCCCTGCACAAGAGAGATGGTAACGCATTGCTCCACGTGGAGGATTGACCTCCCCCCTTAGCTCTGATTTGAAGTAACACAGGATATAGATGCACCAGTTAATGAGCGGTTAAGAAGTATTGTTAAATTATTCAATTTTTTTTATATTACGATATTATTTTGCTCACACACATTTTATACCCTTTTGAATATTAAATGGAATACCTCAAATTAAATGCCTCCCTCTTCTTTTTTGTTACTTTGATATTTCCTATTCGTTTGATTTTGATACTCGTTCGAATTTTGTGAATTGTTTCGTATATTTACAGATTTCGTTACTTATTTCGATGTTTTCTATACGTTTAATCTTAATATTGATAAGAATATTTTTTAGCAAATCAACATAATGAACATTCTTTTCGGCAACGCGATAATTAGTGTTCTTTCAAATATCGCGAAGTCGAAAGGACCATTGCGGTTTGAAATGTGCTTATTGTGACATTTTTCATATAGCGACGAGGCTTTAGATATGGAGGATGGTAAAAGACAGCGAAGCGAGTCGAGTACCGGTGAAGACGTCTCGCACGCCACGCACATCGCCGTTTCCTACATTGATAAGCACTATCCGCAATACAAAAACGTAAGTAACGTTTTTCCGTCGCACCTATTTCCTTAGAAGCGTTATAAAAAATCAAAACTCTTTATTTGCGTGCAGTTTTTATACAATTAAAAATTCATATTCATTATTATTTCGTAGCATCTTATATCTCTTTTTACATTTTCATTGTCAACTTGAAAAATGCACAATTAATTTTGCATTATTACAAGGCACAAAATTGCGTCCGCCGACGCTGGTTTAATCATTGTCGCTCGATTACAATCTAATTATTTTTGTTTTCGGACAAGCAGCACAGGCCGTTCTCCTGGACCTGGCTGAAGATGTGGTGCATCGCGTGGTGGCATAGCGGGCGGGAGGAGGAGGACGACGACGAGGATATCGCGGGACCGGAGAGCAGCCGTACCGGGCCCGGCTACGAGGACACGCTCACGCCGCTGTCGGCCGAGACGCCGCTTCCCAGCACAGTATCGCGATGTCCCTCCCTCAGCGCGATACAGGCTACGGGAATCGCCCTGGACAAGATTGCAGCCCAGCACGAGTACAAAAGGCCGACTCGGCCGCCCGATCTCAAGACTATCTCCAGCGATTCCGTACGTAACGCTGCTATTCGAGAATTAGAGCTTGCAACACATCAGTATTATATATTTCAAAAAGCGACAATTATATTGTCTTTTTATCTAAAAAAATTAATATCGCGCATATAGCTACTAAAAAAATTATAATTCTTCTAAATTATTATTCTATTATCTTAATTCTATTATCTTACGATTAAATCGCTGGAACGGACTATTCAAGAACCGATAGTACGCGCAGGTCTCTTCCTTTTTCCAGGTTTATACGATTCTAATCAAATTACCGAGTAACGGCGGCAAGTACAGCGAGGGGCCGAGTATAAAGATGATTCACGACGAGTCTATGTCGATCCAGCTGCACAGTATGATGGAGGACAGTGAGGATGACGGTGGTGGTAGTGGCGCTGGCGGCCTCACTGTCGGCAGTGCCGGCAAAGTTTTACGTCTCGGCGGCGGACCGAGCCCATCGACGGTGATGAGGAGGCCGTCGCAGATGCCGGATATCAGGATACCGTTAAACGCGAAGAACATACCGAAGACGTTGGTGACGGGCAAGGGTATACTGAACAAGCCACCAAACAAAAAGAAGAAGAAACTGCAAGAGAAAAAGGCCGATCGTAAGGCCGCGAAAACGCTGTCGGCGATTCTGCTCGCGTTCATCATCACGTGGACCCCGTACAACATCCTGGTACTCCTCAAGTCTATCACCGCCTGCTCGTGGTACATACCGCAGGAGCTGTGGGACTTTTTTTATTACCTTTGCTACATCAATAGTACTGTGAATCCGATGTGCTACGCACTGTGCAACGCGGCCTTCCGCAGAACCTACGTGAGAATTCTCAAGTGTAAGTGGCACAGCA